CTGCAAGACCACAGAATACAAATTCAATATACAAAAGCCAATTTTATTTTTACATTGCCAGCAAAAAACAATAGCAATGAAATTATTTAAAGAACGATTTACCATTTACAAAATAAAAACCATACAACTAGGAATAAACCTATCAAAAGATATGTACATTTTCTACATAGAGGACTAGAAGATACCACTTAGATAAATTAGAGATCAGTAAAATTAAATGTTGAAACATATCAGATTTAGGATTCAAAAACTTCCATGGATTGAAAGACTGAGGAGATGGTGATTCTCCCTAAATTGATCTTTACCTTCAACACAATCTCTTGTGAAACCCAGAAGGTTTTTACGGAAATTGATGCTGTCATTCTAAAGTTAATCTTGAAGTCTAAAGGACCCAGCATAAATCTTGAAAAGTGAAGATGGAGGCTGGGTGTGTTGGCTCATACCTGTAATCTCAGCACTTTGAAAGGCCGAGGTACGTGGATCACCTGAGGTCAGGAGTTCAAAACCAGCATGGCCAACATGGCGAAACCCTATCTCCACTAAAAATATAAAAATTAGCCTGGTGTGGTGGTGCATGCCTGTAATCCCAGTTACACTGGAGGCTGAGGCAGGGGAATCGCTTGAACTCAGAAGGCAGAGGTTGCAGTGAGCCGAGATCACACCACTGCACCCCAGCCTGGGCAACAGAGTGAGACCCTGTCTCAAAAAAAAAAAAAAGGAGTGAAGATGGCAAATATATTCTGCTACCAAATCTCAAGACCAAGGACCCATCACTTGTATGTAGCTGGACCTCCTTCTGGGTTTCCAGTCATGGTCCAGCAACCCTCATCTTCCCACTGTCAACCCTATTGCTTTCCATTCTGAACTCCTGTCTGTGTTTTTCCCTGATTTTTCTTTTTTTCCTTTATGTTCCCGTCTCCTCTTTGCAATCAGAAGAGTCTTTACACAATGCAGAAAGCATCACATCACACCCATGATCAAAGTGCTTAATGAGAGCTAAGGGTAAAATGTGCATTTATTATTAACGTGGCTTTCGTGGCTGTGATTTGTCTGTCTCCTGCACTTCCCCAGCACTGAGGGAGGAGAAAAGGAAAAATCAATCAGGTAAATGTTCAGGCTGATGTTGGGGAAGCAGCCTGGCTGACAAATCACAGCTGCAGCACCCCTGCTGATAAGCTCGGACAGATAAGGAGCCAGCAAAGCACAGAAGCCCTCTGTTCTTTGTGTGATTACCGAGCACCCAGGAAAAAGTTCCCTCCCCTTTTCAGGCATGACGTGGCGGGATCCGTGGGAACTTGCTCAGGGAGGAGGGGGGCTTACCTAAAACAGACCCACAGTTACACATACAAGAGAAGGAGTGCTTTGTGCTTGCCTAGAGAAATACCCACAGCTTAACAGATAGAGGGAGTTTTTGCAATTTTATAGAGAAGAAAAACAGCTACTGAGATGAGAGCAGTTTTTTTTTTTTTTGAGACGGAGTCTGCCTGTGTTGCCCAGGCTGGAGTGCAGTGGTGCGATTTGCCTGAGCCTCAAGAGTAGCTAGCAGGTGCCGGCAACCACACCCGGTGAATTTTTTGTATTTTTAGTAGAGACGGGGTTTCACCGTGTTAGCCAGGATGGTCTCGATCTCCTGACCTAGTGATCCACCCGACTCAGCCTCCCAAAATGCTGGAATTACAGGTGTGAGCCACCATGCCCAGCCTGAGAGCAGTTTCTTATAAAAGCTTTTGGATTCAACTATAAAAACAGCAATCTGGGCCGGGCACGGTGGCTCACACCTGTAATCCCAGTACTTTGGGAGGTCGAGGTAGGTGAATCACAAGGTCAAGAGATCGAGACCATCCTGGCCAACATGGTGAGACCCCGTCTCTACTAAAAATACAAAAATTAGCTGGGCGTGGTGGCGCATGCCTGTAATCCCAGCTACTCAGGAGGCTGAGGCAGGAGAATCGCTTGAACCTGGAAGGCGGAGGTTGCAGTGAGCTGAGATTGCACCACTGCACTCCAGCCTGGTGACAGCAGAACAAGACTCTGTCTCAGGAAACAAAACAAAACAACCTGGCAGTCTGCTCAGAATTCCCTCTCTGCTGCAGAGAGCTTTCTTACTTTGCGTATTAAACTTTCACTCCAACCTCACCCTTGTGTGCCACTCCTTGACCATTTTAGATGCGATACAAAGAACTCCAGGTGACACCTGGCAAGAGCGACTGCTACATTGCGGTGCATGGGTGAGATGGCAACAGTGTGACGCAGAGCCACCTTTCCCTCCCATTCAAAGCTCTGGTTACGCCGAGTGCATTTCACTCCCATCTTGTGTCTCAGTCTCTGCCACCACGCTCCGCTTCCCTACATCCACACGTCCCTCAAGGTCCCTATTAAACAGCATCTTGCACAGGAAGAGGTTCTAGTAGCATTCTGGATTTCGTCTGTCACAAGCCTGTCATGTGCAACAGCATGGCTGGAACTGGAGCTCATTATGTTAAGTGAAATAAGCCAGGCACAGAAAGACACACTTCAGGCCAGGGGCGATGGCTCATGCCTGTAATCTCACAACTCCAGCACTTTGGGAGGCCGAGGTGGGTGGATCACCAGAGGTCAGGAGTTCGAGATCAGCCTGGTTGACATAGTGAAACCTTGTCTCTACTAAAAATACAAAAATTAGCCTGGTGTGCTGGCACATGCCTATAATCTCCGCTACTGGGGAGGCTGAGGCAGGAGAATCACTTGAGCTCGGGAGGCGGAGGTTGTGGTGAGTTGAGATTGTGCCATTGCACTCCAGCTTGGGGGCAACAGAGTGAGAGCATCCATCTCAAAAAAAAAGACAAACTTCATTTGTTCTCACTTATTTGTGGGAGCTAAAAATGAACACAACTGAACTCATGGAGATGAAAGTAGAATGATGGTTACTGGAGGCTGGGAAGGGTGGTGGGGGCAGAGGGGATGATTAATGGGCACAAGAAATAGAAAGCACGAATAAGCCCTAGTATTTGCTAGCACAACTGAGTGATTACAGTAAAAAACAATTTAATTGAACATTTTAGAATAACTAAGATTATAATTGCATTATTTGTAACACAAAGGGTACATACTTGAGGTGGCAGATACCCCGTGTACCCTAACGTGATTATTAGGCATTGCATGCCTCCAAGTATTCCATGTACCTCATAAATATATACACTTACTGTGTACCCACAAAAACTAAAAAAGGCTGGGCATGGCGACTATAATCCCAGCACTTTGGGAGGCCAAGGTGAGCAGATCACCTGAGGTCGACTTCAAGACCAGCCTGACCAACGTGGAGAAACCCCATCTGTACTAAAAATACAAAATTAGCCAGGTGTGGTGGCGCATGCCTGTAATCCCAGCTACTTAGGAGGTTGAGACAGGAGAATCACTTGAACTTGGGAGGCGGAGGCTGCAGTGAGCAGAGATCGTGCCACTGCACTCCAGCCTGGGCAACAGAGCAAAACTCAAAAGAGAATCTCAAAAACAAAACAAAACAAAATTCAAAACAAAACACAGCAAAACAAAACCAAACCTAAAAATATCGTCCGGCATGCTGGCTCATACCTATAATCCCAGCACTTTGGGAGCCCAAGGCGGGAGAATTGCTTAAGCCCAGGAGCTTGAGTCTACCCTGGGCAACATAGTGAGACCTTATTTCTACAAACAATAATTTAAAAAATAGCTAGGTGTGGTGTCATGTGCTGTAGTCCCAGCTACTCAGGAGGCCAAGGTGGGAGGATCACTTGAGCCCAGGGGGTCGACGCTACAGTAAGCTGTGATCACACCACTGCACCTCAGCCTAAAAAAGAAAAAGAAGAAAAAACAACAGCAACGGAAGACTGATTCCCCGTCTATTGATTCATTTATTTGAGGTCTGCAGTCCTGGATAACCGATCGTATCACGGCAGGGGCAATGTTTGTTTTGTGGGTAATGCTTTCACCAGAGCCTGGCACATAGGAGGCACTTGTAACAGAGATGGGAGATACTTGTCACAAAACCCTTCACTCTCTAGTTCATGAGAAGTACCAATATTTAGCCTGCCACACAGTCACATGGAATCAAGGCTGCATTTTCCAACCACAGTGCTGTCGGGCTGAATTTTTGTATTTTTAGTAGAGACAGGGTTTCACCATGTTGGCCAGGCTGGTCTTGAACTCCTAACCTCAGGTGATCCACCTGCCTTGGCCTCCCAAAGTGCTAGGATTACAGGTGTGAGTCACCGCGCCCAGCAGGATTCACTTATAAAGCTGCTTCTCTATGACTGGCTGTGGCCACAAGGCCTCCTGAACCATTTGATTCAGACCTATTCTATATTAGTTATTAACTTTTTTTGGTGGAGGGGGAAGGAAGCTTGCTCTGTTGCCAGGCTGGAGTGCAGTGGCACGATCTCGGCTCACTGCAACCTCCGCCTCCCCAGTTCAAGTGATTCTCCTGCCTCAGCCTCCCGAGTAGCTGGGATTACAGGTGCTTGACATCATGCCTGGCTAATTTTTGTATTTTTAGTAGAGATGGGGTTTCACCATGTTGACCCGGATAGTCTTGATCTCTTGACCTCGTGATCCCCCTGCCTCAGCCTCCCAAAGTGCTGGGATTATAGGCATGAGCCACGGTGCCTGGCTGGTTATTAACTATTTTGAATGGCTTCCCGCAGAGAAAGGGAAGAAATAAAGACCAGAGTAGGAAGAAAATATTTCCATGAAAATTCAACTAAAGAAAGAGAGATCTTTTCAGAAAAGACTAGAGCTGTTAAAGTATGGTTTGCAGTAAGTTGCAGAAACATACTTAGAGCCTAGAAGAGACCATGGGATTTGTCTACAAAAGAAATTTAGTGGCCAGGGGCAGTGGCTCATGCCTGTAATCCCAGCACTTTGGGAGGCCAAGGCTGATCATGTGGTCAGGAGATCGAGAGCATCTTGGCTAATGCAGTGAAACCCCATCTCTAGTAAAAACACAAAAAATTAGCTGGGTGTGGTGGTGCGTACATGTAATCCCAGCTATTCAGAAGGCTGAGGCAGGAGAATCGCTTGAACCTGGGAGGCGGAGGTTTCAGTGAGCTGAGATCACGCCACTGCACTCCAGCCTGGGCGACAGAGCCCAACTCCGTCTCGGGAAAGAAATAACGAAGCAATTTAGCTTGTTTCTCCCACCTCCTGTGTCATCTGGGGTGCTCCGACAAATGGAATGGCATTGTCCCTTGTTCCCTGCAGTGACTCCCTCCTCTGTGGGTTCAGCACAGGCTCAACACCAGCTTTCAGTTCCACCCGCAGCTGCTGCACCTCTTGGTTGCTCTTCAGAGAGTCTTGGTGTTCAAGCTTCTCCTGCAATGCCTGGTGGAAGCTCTGCTGGCTGGCTCTCTGGTCCTCTTCCTGCTGAGCCAGTCTTCAACCAGGAGCCACACCAGAGCCACCAGGACCAGGAAGGCCAGGCCCGCCCGAAGGAGATTCTGGGCAGTGTGGTCCCAGAGGGCAAGCTCTGTGGGCAGGAGAACAGGGTGATTGCTGACAGGGACGTAAGGACACCCTCTGGTTTTTTTTCTTTTTTGAGGCAGAGCCTTGATCTTGTTGCCCAGGCTGGGGTGCAACACTGTGATCTTCGGCTCACTGCAAACTCCGCCTCCCGCTTCAGGCTCCCAAGTAGCTGGGCCTTCAGTTGAGCACCACCACACCTGGTTAATTTTAGTTTTTTTTGAGATGGAGTCTCGCTCTGTTGCCCAGGCTAGAGTGCAGTGGCTTGATCTCAGCTCACTGCAACCTCTGCCTCCTCGGTTCAAGCGATTCTTCTGCCTCAGCCTCCCAAGTAGCTGGAACTACAGGGACGTGCCGCCGTACCCGTCTAAATTTTTTATTTTTAGTAGAAACAGGGTTTCACTATGTTGGCCAGGATGGTCTCGATCTCTTGACCTCATGATGTGCCCGACTTAGCCTCCCAAAGCGCTGGGATTACAGGCTTGAACCACTGTGCCCAGCCAATTTTTGTATTTTTACTAGAGACAGAGTTTCCCCATGTTGGCCAGGCTGGTCCCAAACTCCTGACCTCAGATGATCCACCTGCCCTGGCCTCCCAGTGTGCTGGGATTACAGGTGTGGGCTACCATACCTGGCCAAGGACACCCTCTTGTTCCACTGATCACCATCTCCTTCCCAGCTCATGACTCTACGCCCAGCTCCTTCCTTTACAGCCTTTGGCCCCAGGTATCTGCTTACCTTTCTGGAGTCCCATGTCTGTGGTTAAAAGGTAGGTGTCCCCAGAGTCTGCCATTAATAAGGGAAGTAAAGAAAAGGGGGTGGTGTTGGCCTCCTCCACCCCAGTGCTCCTTCCCTTGGGTATACCCAATGACGTTCTGCAAGGTCCCACCCCGCCCTGCAGGTCCCAGAGCTTCATCCAGCAGATAAAGTGGAAGGGTCCGCAGATGGACAAGCCTGAGGAGGAATTCCATTCTAGCACTCATGAGCGTGTGTCTTTGCAACAGTCACGTCTTCTACGTTTCTGTTTTTTTTTTTTTGAGACACAGTTTCGCTCTTGTCGCCCCGGCTGGCGTGCAGTGGCACAATCTCAGCCTCCCGAGTTCAAGTGATTCTCCTGCTTCAGCCCTGAGTAGCTGTCATTACAGGCGTGTACCACCATGCCCAGCTAATTTTTGTATTTTTAGTAGAGACAGGGGTTTCCCTGTGTTGGTCAGGCTGGTCTCGAACTCCTGACCTCAAGTGATGTGCCCGCCTCTACCTTCCAAGGTGCTGGGATTACAGGTGTGAGCCACCATGCCCAGCCCATGCCTTCTACTTAAGCCTCATTTTCCTCATTAAGTCGTCATCACTCCCTTCTCCTCACACTTAGTCAAATTCAAAGTCTCACTATTTTTTTCAGCGTCCTAACCACGCAGGCCCAGCCCCATCCCATCCCCCCTGTCATCTTCCAGACGTCATTTCCAACCCTCCAGGACTCACAGCTGTTCTTTTGTCACCCTGGTCATCTTCCTGCCTCAGGGCAGAGGCAGAGGCCATTTCCTCTCTCCGACCCTCCTTTCTCCTGAGAGCCACAGGACAAGCTCAAGTCTGAGGGCGTTTGCTCAGATGTCTTCTCTGTGAGGCCAATCTGGACAACCCATTTAATAGTGCTACCTGCCCTCCCAAACATTGTAAGTCTGTTCCTCTTTGTCTTTCTCCTTCCATAGCCTCATTTCCTCCTGTGGGCTGTCCTGACATCGACCCATGGTCTGTCTCCTGCTAGAATCTAAATGCCATGAAGCCAAGATATTTGCCTGGCTGACTGTTACAGTGTAGTTCACTGTGTATACCGTGCACTTGATAAATATATATATATGTATACACACACACACACACACACACACACACATATAGTGATGGAGTCTTGCTCTGTCACCTAGGCTGGAGTGAGGTAGTATGATTTTGGCTCCTGCAACCTCTGCCTCCCTGGTTTAAGCAATTCTCCTGCCTCAGCCTCCAGAGTAGCTGGGATTACAGGTGCCCTTACCACACCTGGCTAATTTTTGTATTTTTAGTAGAGACAGGGTTTCACCGTGTTGGCCAGGCTGGTCTCCAACTCCTAACCTCAAGTGATACACCCATCTCGGCCTCCCACCATGCTGGGATTACAGGTGTGAGCCACCGTGCTCGGCCTTGATGAATATTTTGAATGAATGCCTCATTTTTAGTGTCATGGGGAGGCTCTGATCCCTCCTCTGAGCTTAGAAGGACCAGTTACTCACCAGGAGAGGTGGGGTCTGTAGGTGCAAGGCTGGTGTTCTCAGTGTCACCTGGAAAAGGAGATAAAGAACATAAGTAAGGCTTTTGGGTTTCCCCTGGTCTAACCATTTCTTTCTCTGCACCCTCTTCCTTCCTGTTTCTGGTGATCTTCCTCACACCACCAACTGGGCCCCCAGGAAGCCAATGTCCCTTTGATACCCTCCCCATCACGATCTGGAGATCCCTTAGGGCTCCAGGTAGGACATGGCAGCGGGAGGTGTGGGAATCGGGGCTCTCCTCACCTGTGATCAGAAGCTTCACTGGCTCACTGGGGAAAGACCATGCATGGTTGTTATAGGAGCCAAAACACCGGTAGGTCCCTCTGTGGGATGTGGTCACAGAGCCCATGGGGAATTCTGCCTGGACCTTCCCGTATCCGCGCCGTACGCTGGATCTTCCCTCCTTGAGCAGAAAGAAGGTGCTTGTTGCAGTCCCCAGATGGCAATAGAAGGTCACCTTCTCTCCCAAGATCACTTCTGGTCCAGGATGAACCGAGAGGGTGGGTGTGTCATACATTCCTACAAGAGAAGGCGGGGCCCCCGCACCAGAAACTCAGTGACGAGAAGCCAGCTATTTTAGAAAAATTATTATTATTTTGGTCAAATACACACAGCAGAAGATTTACCATCTAAGCCATTTTTAAATTTATTTATCTGTTTGAGAGATGGAGTCTCACTCTGTCGCTCAGGCTGGAGTGCCGTGGCGTGATCTTAGCTCAATGCAACCTCCGCCTCCCAGGTTCAAGTGTTTCTCCTGCCTCAGCCTCCCCAGTGGGTGGGACTACAGGTGCCTGCCACCACGCCTAACTAAATTTTGTATTTTTAGTATAGACCATCTTGAGCAGGCTGGTCTTGATCTCTTGAGGTTATGATCTGCCTGCCTTGGCCTCCCAAAGTGTTGGGATTACAGGTGTGAGCCACCACACCCAGCCTAAACCATTTTTTAAAAATGATGCAGGGTGTATACCTAATACTGTGTCACTTGATATAAAAACAAAAAAAGAAAAATGAAAAAAATAATGATGCAGGGTCTTGCTCTGTTGCTCAGGCTGGAGCGCCATGGCACCATCTCGGTTCCCTGAAGCCTTGACATCCTGGGTCAGGACAAGGTGAAATCCCATCCCTACTAAAAATGCAAAAATTAGCCAGGCGTGGTGGCAGGTGTCTGTAGTCCCAGCTACTTGGGAGACCAAGGCAGGATAATTGCTTGAATCCAGGAGGTAGAGGTTGCAGTGAGCTGAGATTGCACCACTGCACTCCAGCCTGGGGAACCGAGCAAGACTGTTCGAAAAAAAAAAAAAAAAAAAAAACCTAAAATATTTTTAAAAAAACCCACCACCTGTGATGGGTGAGGAAAGCAAAGTAAGCCACTGCCCCTGGCCCACAGGTGATGTTGTTGAGGACATCTGTCAGTCATACTCCTGCACACAAATATCTATCTCAGAATCTGTTTCTTGGAGAACTTAACCGAGGACACATCTGCTCCTAGGACATAGAGACGCTGTCTGCAGACAAGCCCTTGTAGGCAGGGATGTGATGAGTACACCCGTCCACCCAACCTCCTTCCGAGAGAAGCAGCGTCTGAGTGGGGGTTGGAAGAGTTAATAGATGAGGCCCCATCCCGGCTGTAGACTGAACTGACTCTCCATTTAGGGAGGGGGACACTTACCTGTTACCACCAGATCCAGTGAGTCGCTGGGCTCTGACCAGAGCTCCCCAACCCGATAGAAGCAGCTGTACCGCCCTGCCGTGCGGGATGTCATGGCCGGGATGTGAAACTTGACTTTGTTAATGCGCTCAGGAGGTTTTGGTCTCTCCACGGCAGAAAGACGTCCTTCAAAATGCAGCTGGTATTCAATAGCCCCATAATTTCCCTGGCAACAGATGGTCGCCGGCTTTTCCTTTGGAACCATGAAACTGGGCTTGGCCCAGATGGAGGGTTTTGGGAGAGTCTCTGGAAGGGAATCAGACGCTGGAGTCCCAGCTGAGCCTACCTCCCCACCCTAGGCTCCACCCAGCTGCTGGCCCTAAGCACTGCTGGGAAGCCCGCACCCTGCCCCCTCTCCTCAGCTGTGTTTGGGTGGAGGGTGCTTGGCCTGAACCCGTCAGAGCGACCCCGAACTTTGAAGGAAGGACTCACGCTGCTGGGTGCTGATCCTCTGGCTCAGACACAGCCCTGCAAGATGGGAATAATGAGACCCGTTGCTTCCCAGGCACACCCTCATTCCATTCCCCATCCAGGCAAGAACTCACCGAGGCAGAGCAGGGCAGGGAGTGCGGAAGGCATCGCTCTGATTCTGCTGGCAGTGGGTGGTGACCGAGCCCAGCGTGCCAGGGAGATGCAGAGGAAGTGGTGGATGAGGCCAACCCTCATCACCACGTGGCTTTCACGTTGACTTTTTTCATAAGAATGTTCACAATTCCCCTCCACCTCTGACCGTGAGCCTACGGAAAAGCAATGGTCTCTATGACACAGCTGTGGTCTAGCCAGCTTCTCTGAAAACTTTCTGCTCAGCCCGAAATGCATTTCTGGGTCAACTTCTCTCTCTCTTTTTTTTTTTTTTTTTTAAAATTTCTCTGCCCCGCCCCCTTTTTCTTTTCTTTTCTTTTCTTCTTCTTTTTTTCTTTTTTAGAGATGGGGTTTCACCATGTTGGACAGGCTGGTTTCGAACTCCTGACCTCAAGTGATCCACCCGCCTTGGCCTCCCAAAGTGCTGAGATTACAGGCGTGAGCCACTGAGCCCAGCCTCTTTTCTCTTTTTTTTTTTCCCCTGGGTTAACTTCTCAATTCTGCGATGTGGAAGTCATGCCCAGGGCTGATGCCCTAACCTCGAATCACTTCAAGTTGTAGTTCTAAATCCAAGGACATTTTGTTATGTTATTGAAGTTCAAAGTCAAGAAATATCATTGATAGGACACTATTGTCTAAGCTATCGACTTTATTCAAATTTTACCACTTGTTTTAGCAGTGACATGTATTTGGTTTAGGATTTAATCCAAGATTGTGCAATTTATTTAATTGTCATGTCTCTTAAAAAAAAATAAAACTCTAAGGCCGGGCACAGAGGCTCACACCTGTAATCCCAGTGATTTGGGAGGCCAAGGTGGGTAGATCACTTGAGGTTGGGATTTCAAGACCAGCCCAAGCAACATGGAGAAATCCTGTCTCTACTAAAAGGTACAAAAATTAGCCAGGCATGGCGGCATGTGCCTGTAATCCCAGCTACTCCGGAGGCTGAGGCAGGAGAATCACTTAAATCCAGGAGGCAAAGGTTGCAGTGAGATGAGACTGTGCCATTGCACTCCAGCCTGGGCAACAGAGTGAGAATCTGTCTCAAAAAAAAAAAAAAAAAAAGAAAAGAAAATATAAGTATGCATGCTAATTTGTACACACACATCTGTATCTACCAATTATCTTCATCTGTCTATCTATCTGTCTTCTACCTATTACCTATCTGCATCATACAGACACAGCCATGGGTTCATGCTGATGTCTCTTACTTCAACCCAACACGATAAAATTCATTCTAACATTTTCTCTCTCTTTTTTATTTTTGGAAATGAAAGGGATATAGGGGAATATTATAGATTAAAGGAGACATAAAAGATACATTGTTAAAAATAGGAAAATCTACATTATAATGTCTAGGGATGGACCCTTGAGGGATAGTCTTGAAATATCCAAGGAAGTAATTATGGAAAGTGTCAGCATATGTTTAGAATGAGGCTGGACTGTGATTGGAATGAGAGACACAAAAGGGCTTTTGGCTTCAGGAAAAGTTCTATTTCTAGACTAGAATGATGATAGCCAGATAATTTACCTTAAGACATTTTAAGTTATCTGGTTTTTTTTTTGTACTGTGGTTTTCTGTATTTTGTTTTATTCTAATCTGTAAATTAAAAAAAAGTGTAGAATGAGAAACACTGAAACACAAAAAGAGAGTAGAATGAGGAACATGTAACAATCACTGCTCATCCAAATAATGAAACCAAGCTGGGTACATATCACCAGGCTCCTAACTCTGCAGGGAGAGAGGGGGCTCTGATTAGGGCCTGGTTTCTCCCTTTGGGATTGGCTTCCCATCTCATTGCTCTCAACTATCTTTGGTTCTGCTGTTAAGACTCTCAGATGTAACTCATGAGAAATCTTTCCTTTTCTATGAGAGATGACCCATATTGACTAATAAGTGTATGTCTCAGCCTGATTCCTGTCTTTTCAAAGCTGAGGACTTAGGAGTGCAAAAGGCTTATTGGAAAGGAAAGAAAAAGAAAAGAAAAGAAAGCTGGGGAAATAAAAAAGACTTTTGCAACGTACGTGTCTTTAGACCCATTTACCCCAACATAGTGGCCATTTTGCCTATATGACTACTCCCTTAAAACTTTGTGGGTTTCCTGTGTATCAGATTATTCTCTACTGGAAAAAAATATACCCCCGATTCTTTGCAAGACAGGACTGTGCACCTTTTGGGCATTTAAGACTGCTGTAGGACTGTGACCATATGATATTTATATGACCTTAAGTCTAGCTGAGAGGGTTTACTTGACACCATCTTGAATCTTTCCAATGGCTTAATAAAGAGTCACAGTGACTTCAGACCTTCTCTTCTGGGGCGCTATTAACATTTGGGCTAGATGATTCTTTGCTGTGGAAAGCTGTCCTGTGCATTGCAGAATGTTTAGCAGCACCCCTGGCCTCTACCCACTAGATGCCAGAAGCATCCCTTCCCAGTTATGACAACAGAAAACATCTCCAGACGTCTCCAAATGTCTTCTGAAAAGTAAAATTGGCCAGCAGAGAAACACTGAGTTACACCATTGATTTTTCTCCTCTTCAGTTTAGGTTTCATTTCACTCTGAGAACATTCTAGTAGCTATAAATATTGGGAAGGAGGAACAATTTTATTTTTCTAACCAGAAAACCTTCACTGACCATCCCCTTTATAGTCTCTGAAAATTATGTTTGCTAACATAATTTTTTTCCCCTTTAGCTTATTTATTTTTTTTTTGAGATAGAGTTTCGCTCTTGTCACCCAGGCTGGAGTGCAGTGGCACTATCTTGGCTCATTGCAACCTCTGCTTACCAAATTCAAGGAATTCTCCTGCCTTAGCCTCCCAAGTGGCTGGGATTACAGGCACCCACCACCATACCCAGCTAATTTTTTGTATTTTGTATTTTTGTAGAGACAGGGTTTGACCATGTTGGGCAGGCTGTTCTTGAACCCCTGACCTTGTTATTCACCCGCCTCAGCCTCCCAAAGTGGTGGCATTAAAGTCATGAGCCACTGCACCTGACCATCTTTCTCTTTTATAGGCAGCTTAGAAAAGTCATTTGACCCCTTCAACAATCTGTTTAGAAATCATATTACCAGATAACAAGTTCATTAGATACATTTTCTGTCTTCTAAGTTATTGTAGGTAGGAGTGTAAGCCACAAAGTGAGATTCCTTCTTCTCTACAAAACTAATAATAATAATAAAAAAATAGCCAGACATGGTGGCATGTGCCTATGTTTACAGCTACTTGAGAGGCTGAGGTGGGAAGTTCACTTCCTCCCAAGAGATCAAGGCTGCAGTGAGCTATGATTATACCACTGCACTCCAACCTGGGTAACTGAGTGAGGCCCCCATTTCAAAACAGAAAAAAACAGTCCTGCCGTTAGAGAAGAAGTCCTGTTAACATACCTGCAGGTCTGTGAAAAAAGGAGGCACTCTACTCTCCCAATAAAACACTCTGACTGGGAGCCTGGGTGTGGTGGCTCAAGCCTGTATTCCCAACACTTTGGAAGGCCCAGGCAGGCAGATCACCAGAGGTCAGGAATTTGAGACCAGCCTGACCAACATGGTGAAACCCCGTCTTTACTAAAAATACAAAAAATTAGCTGGGCGTGGTGGCAGGCACCTGTAATCCCAGCTATTCGGGAGGCTGAGGAGGAGAATTACTTGCCTATAATGCGACCCTACCAGTGGGAGTGATGACAGTGAAAGGGAGACACATGGACGGTGAGATAAGAGGGCAGAACTCAGTCCCGGAACTTCTTAGTCTTCATTTGAAGCCAAAGCTATTTGAAGCTTATTTATTTATTTTTATAACAGCCAGCATCACACTATATAACACAAAAATGGCTTCTGAGTTTGAGACGGATGCTTTATTGTTTTTAAGTTGCTAATATAATTTGCTGTTTATGTTGATGCCCAGCTTCATGACATGAGAATTCCAATGGATGACGAACTCCAGTCTGAAGATAAGATGAGTTATCCACGTTGTCAGATTCATTTCAGAGCTCGCCTGCCCCTGGGGACACGGCAGAAAACCTTAAACTCTATAACGATTAAATAATATAGACCTCCAATTTTTAAGAAAACTAAGTGAAAAAATAAATTAGTGGGTTGACATGAAACACATGCCTCTGTTCCTTGTATGAAAATCCCTTAGAAACAGGGTTTGTGGGCCAGGCGCAGTGGCTTACGCCTGTAATCCCAGCACTTTGTGAGGCCGAGGCGGGCAGATCCTGAGGTCGGGACCAGCCTGACCAACATGGGGAAACCCCGTCTCCACTAAAAATACAAAATTAGCTGGGCATGGTGGGTCTCATGCCTGTAATCCCAGCTACTCGGGAGGCTGAGGCAGAATTGCTGGAACCTGGGAGGTGGAGGTTGTGGTGAGTCAAGATCACGCCATTGCATTCCAGCCTGGGCAACAAGAGTGAAACTCCATCAACAAAAAAAAAAAAAAAGAAAAAAAAAAAAGAAAGAAAGAAATAGGGTTTGTGAAATAAATAGGATAATCCCCCCTGTAGGATTATGACTTTCACCCTCATCAATTTGTAGATGAACACAACAGAAGGCTGAGGTAGGAGGATTGCTTGAGACCAGGAGTTCAAGACCAGCTTGGGCAACATAGGGAGCTCCTCATCTGGATAACAAAAAATCAAGGAGGGGGGTTAGTGAATATGTTTGGCACGGTCACCAGCTATTTATATTTAGGGAAAACACATTTAAACAATATAAAAAGAAGGACAATATATATTAAACAGGATACAAAAAATCAGAAGACAGATAAAGATGGAAAACCATAACGGATGTTCAGAAGGGTAGGGTGCAAATAGTGTCAGGTCTACACAAGAAAATACCATTTGATTGGTTTGAAAATGAATCTGACAGGACACGGTGGCTCACGCCTGTCATCTCAGCACTTTGGGAGGCCGAGGCGGGTGGATTGCGAGGTCAAGAGATCGAGACCATCTGGTCAACATGGTGAAACCCCGTCTGTACTAAAAATACAAAAAATTAGGTGGGCATGGTGGCGCGTGCCTGTAATCCCAGCTACTCAGGAGGCTGAGGCAGGAGAATTGCCTGAACCCAGGAGGTGGAGGTTGCGGTGAGCCGAGATCGCGCCATTGCACTCCAGCCTGGGTAACAAGAGCAAAACTCCGTCTCAAAAAAAGAAAAAAAAAAAAAAGGATTCACGCTTGTTAATGCGCTCTTCTCCCCGTGTCCTTCAGGTGCTTCGTAGGACTCCACAAGTCACGAGTCGTCTCTCCTTCACATCCAGGTGTTCACTTGCAGACATGTGGTGTTTGTCCAAAGGTCAATTCTGTCTGACATTTCTGTTTGCTCCAGCTCAGTTCAGCCACGTCAGCCGAGGCTTCCTTGCCTAACGCCCTAGGGCTGTGCCAATTTTCAGCCAGTATGGCCAAGAGAGCCACGAGGACCAGTCCTGCCACGGCCATGCGGATCAGGTTCTGCACCGTGTAATCTTGGCTCACGGAGTCTAGAGACATAATCAAAGGAGATGAATGGTTGGCGGCTGTGTTCCATTCCATCCCAACCCCAGAGCCCTGCCATGGGAGCTCATTTCCCTATTCGTTTGCCAAAATGTGACTCCCTCAGACTTCTCAATGAGCTCACATTTCACAAGCACTGCGCGGATCAGTCACCAAGACTGTGTCCATGGGCAAGGAACTTTGGTTTCCAAGGAAGTCCCATAAACTGGGAAGGAGGTGATCATGGGCAGGTCGTGTTTTCTTTTTCTTTTCTTTTTTGAGACAGAGTCTTGCTCTGTCACCCACGCTAGAGTGCAGTGATGTGATCTCGACTCACCGCAATATCTGCCTCCCAGGTTCAAGCGATTCTCCTGCCTCAGCCTCCCGAGTAGCTGGGATTACAGGCGTGCGCCACCAGGCCCAGCTAATTTTTTGTATTTTTAGTAGAGACAGAGTTTCACCATGTTGGTCAGGCTGGTCTTGAACTCCTGACCTTGTGATCCGCCCGCCTCAGCCTCCCAATGTGCTGGGATGACAGGTGTGAGCCGCCGCACCTGGCCAGGCAGGTCGTGTTTTCTTTTCCTTCTGTCCTCACTTGGTGATTTCACTGAATGTCAGATCATATCTCTATAATACCACCATACATTCAGAAACCTGAATTCTCTCCTCTGTCCTCACCCTGGAGAACAGTTTGTGTTCCTCTCATACAAATGATATTACACTGTTGGTACGTGGAAACTAGAGAGGGGAAAATTTCAGATAAACTTAGGTAAAATTTACCTCCACTAATGTGTGATTTTTTTTTTTTTGCTAGACATTGCTTTTCCTGAATCTTTTTTCCTCCTTTCTTCATTTGTTATGTGAACTGCATGCGGCTGTGTTCCTCTCAAGGATGTCTTGCTCTGAAATTACAGGCCAGGTGAGGTGGCTCACGCCTGCAATCCCAGCACTTTGGAAGGTCGAGGCGGGAGGATCACTTGAAGTCAGGTTACAAGTTCGAGACTAGCCTGGGCAACATGGCAAAACCCCATCTCTACTAAAAGTACAAAAATTAGCCGGGCGTGGTGGTGCATGACTGTGGTCTCAGTTAGTCCGGAGGCTGAGTCATGAGAATTGCTTCAACCCGGGAGGCGGAGGTTGCAGGGTGACCAGAGATTGAGCCACCGCACTCCAGCCCGAGTGAGAGAGCGAGATTCTGACTCAAAATAAATCAATACGTAAATAAATAAAATAGAAATGGGGCTCATGATAGGGGTTTTAAAAGCCTTTCCTATGAGCCCCCAGTCCCCACTTGATCCTCACGGTGAATTCTAGTACCGTTGGTGAGTTCAAGGATTTCCAGCTGCAACTGGAAAGAAGAGGTGTGCTAGTCAAGGTTGAGCCTGGTGTCTCCTGTCTCAGCAGCCCACAAACACGTGACTCTAAAAGTCAGCCCTTCTTGGCCGGGCGCCGTGGCTCATGCCTGTAATCCCAGCACTTTGGGAGGCCGAGGCGGGTGGGTCACGAGGTCAGGAGTTCAAGACCAGCCTGGCCAACATGGTGAAACCCCATCTCTATGGTCCCAGGTACTCAGGCAGGAAAATTGCTTGAACCCGGGAGGCGGAGGTTGCAGTGGGCCGAGATTGCGCCACTGCACTCCAGCCTGAGTGACAGAGCGAGACTCCATATCAGAAAATAAAATAAAATAAAAGTTAGCCCTTTTTGCCCAGTAGTAGTGACTCATACTTGTAATCCCAGCACTTTGGGAGGCTGAGGTGGGCGGATCACCTGAGGTCAGGAGTTTAACACTTGTCTGGCCAACATGGTGAAACCCTGTCTTCACTAAAAGTACTAAAAAATTAGCCAGGCGTGGAGGCAGACACCTGTAATCCCAGCTACTCGGGAGGCTGAGGCAGGAGAATCCCTTGAACGCAGGAGGCAGAGGTTGCAGTGAGCCGAGATTGTGCCCCCGCACTCCAGCCTCGGCCATGAGGTGAGACTCTATTTCAAAAGAAAAAAAGGTTAGCCCTTCTTTTCTCAATAGACCACATGTGTTCAAGGAGCACAGACTGGAGAACTCTAGCGAGAAAGTGAAAGTCAAGCATAGAGCCGGGGAAGCCCTCCTCTCTCCACTGTCCTGGGGTGAGCGAGTCTCTGCTTCTCTTCACTTTACCCTGAGTGCACCTCTTCAGATCCCTGCCCAGTGACATAGCCCTGACAGCCAACCCGGACATGGGGCTGGCTGGTACCTACCTGTGACCACAAGCTCCAGGGCATTACTGGGGGCGGACCACACGTAGGGGCTGCTGCTGTACCAACCATAGCACCTGTAGCTCCCTGAGACATTGACGTCCAGAGGACCCAGAGAGAAGTTGGCCGGGTGTTCCCCACTTTGGTGCTGTGGCAGAGAAAGTTCTCCCTCCTTGGCCAGCGAAAATCTATCAAATGGGAGGTGTGCCGAGGTACACGTGAAGGAAATATTCTCTCCCGGCCTCACCACACGACCCCGATCTGCAGAGAGGAAGGGTTTGTCATACAAGCCTAAGAGAGAAAAGAGTGAGATATCAGCAAGAACGTTCCTCCTTTATTCTTTTTATTTATTATTATTTTCTGAGATGGAGCCTTGCTTTGTCACTGAGGCTGCAACGCAGTGGCGCGATCTTGGCTCACTGTAACCTCTGCCTCCTGGGTTCAAGCCAGTCTCCTGTCTCAGCCTCCTGAGTAGCTGGGATCACAGGCATCTGCCACCACACCCAGGTAGCTTTTGTATTTTTAGTGGAGACAGGGTTTCACCATGTTGGCCAGGCTGGTCTGGAACTCTTGACCTCAAGTGATCCACCTGTCTCAGCCTCCCAAAGTGTTGGGATTACAGGTTTGTGCCACCATGCCCAGCCTCTTTTTTCTTTTAAAAAATTTATCTATTTTTAAAAAGAAATACTTTTTATTTTTTTTTTAGAGAGGGTCTCACTCTGTCACCCAACATCAATAGCCATATTCACATGTACAGTATAAACCTTCCTTGCAATAACCCATAAGCCAGTCTAGCCATGAGCAAAACATCAGGCAATTTCCAATAATGGAAGTACCCTTGAAACTAACGGACCACTACTCTCAAAACTGACAAGGTCGTGGAAAACCAGGATCGTCTGAGAAGCTGTGACAGCCAAGAGAAACCTAAATATACGTGACATCTGAATGCAATGTGTAATCTTTTTTTTTTCAGACAGAGTCTCTCTCTGTCACCCAGGCTGGGGTGGAGTGGCACGATCTTGGCTCACTGCAACCTCCACCTCCCAGTTCAAGCAATTCTGTCTCAGCCTCCTGAGTAGCTGGGACTACAGGTGCACACCCCCATGCCTGGCTAATTTTTGTATTTTTAGTAGAGATGGGGTTTCACCATGTTGGCCAGGGTGGTCTCGCATCCTGACCTCGTGATCCGCCCACCTTGGCCTCCCTAAGTACTGGGATTACAGGCGTGAGCCACCGCGCCCGGCTGCAATGTGAAATCTTGAATGAGATTCTGGAACAGAGAAAGAGTATCAGGTAAAAACTAAGAAAATCTAAGTAAGCTATAGACTTTATCTGAGAATGTATCGATGTTCATTAATGTAAATGTGCCATGCTAAACAGAAAAGCAAACACCGCATGTTCTCACTTATAAGTGGGAGTTGAACAATGAGAACACATGGACACAGGGAGGGGAACATCACACACTGGGGCCCATTGGGGGCTGGGGGGCTGGGGAGGGATAGCATTAGGAGAAATACCTAACGTAGATGATGGGTTGATGGGTGCCGCAAACCACCATGACAAATGTATACGTAGGTAACAAACCTGCATGTTCTGCACATGTACCCCAGAACTTAAAGCATAATAATAATAAAAAAAGAAGGAAATGTACCATAGTAATGTAAGATGCTAACTCTGGGGGAAATAGGGTGCCAGATATCTGAGAACTCTCTGAAGCAACCATCTTGATTTTCTCTCTCTCTCTTTTTTTTTTTTTAAATCTAAAACTTCTAAAAAAATAAACTCTGTTAAAAATAAGAAAAAAAAAAAACCACACCAGGACCGTGGACCTGGATGTTCCTTACCTGTCACCACCAGCTCCAGGGCGTTACTGTAATGTGACCAGGTGAAGCCTCTCCTGTATCGGCAGTGATAGCGCCCTGCCGTGTTTGTGTCCATGTGGTCAACGATGAACTCACTCTCGTTCAAAAACCCCAGTTTCCTGTCTACCTCCTTGTACGTGGAGTTTTTTTGGATCACCAGCTGGGTCAGGAAAGATTCAGGACTGCTCTGGCACTGGATTTTCGCAGATCCATGCCGGGGAACCACAGGACTTGATCTGGCAAATATGAGAGGCATGGGAAAGTCCCCTGGAAGAAAATAAAGCCCAGACTCAGGTGGCCCGCCGTGGGGAAGCCATTCCTTTCCTTCTCTGTGGGGGAATTAAAAATAAATTAGCGTGTGAAGAACCTATAATGCTTTATTTTTAAAAAATTTTAAATAGGCCAGGTGCAGTGGCTCGTGCCTGTAATCCCAGCACTTTGGGAGGCCGAGGAGGGTGGATCCCAAGGTCAGGAGTTCAAGACCAGCCTGACGAATCCTCGCTGGATGATTTGAATGATGGCAGCGGTGCAGCAGCATTTAAAACTCTGGAGATCCCACATCTGAATGCTGGCACACTGACAAATACTAGAAGAAGGATTGCCATCAGCCTGGTAAACATGGTGAAATGCCAGCTCTACCAAAAAAAAAAAAGAAAAACCCCAAAATTTTCTGGGTGTGGTGGTGTGTGCTGGTAGTCCCAGCTACTCAGGAGGCTGAGGCAGGAGGACCAATTAGCCCAATAGGTGGAGGCTGCAGTGAGCCGAGATTGTGCCGCTGCCCTCTAGCCTGAGCGACAGAGCAAGATCCCGTGTCAAAATACAGAACAAACACATGAAAGAGTCTTGTGGCTAAGATTCTACATGCTGGCCAGCGCTCCTGAGTGCCACCTACTGGATCACACCTCAAAATACAGCACTGAAATACTTCATTATACAGCGCCTGTGAAAATGAAGGAAAAAAATCCAGCCACAAATAAAGATTCTGTGCAGAGTCCCAGCAGCTGAAAACACCCAGAAATGAAGACAAGTCACTGTACTCAACTGACATCACAGTTAAAGGAATGGCAGCCCTCGCACATGAGAAAGAATCAACACGAAGCCCGGGAGTGGTGACTCACGTCTGTAATCCCAGCACTTTGGGAGGCTGAGGTGGGCAGATCACCTGAGATCGGGAGCTCCAGTCCAGCCTGATCAACATGGCAAAACCCGGTCTCTATTAAAAATACAAAACTTTTCTGGGTGTGGTGGCACACGCCTGTAATCCCAGCTGCTTGGGAGGCTGAGACAGGAGAAGCGCTTGCACCCAGGAGGTGAAGGCTGCAGTACTGAGCCGAGATTGTGCCACGGCACTCCAGCCTGGGTGACAGAGTGAGACTCACACACACAGACACACACACACACACACACACAGAATCAACACAAGAATGCTGGCAACTTAATAGCCCCCTGGAAATCTGGTTCTCAGCTAGATTGAGATGACGAAATTGAGGGACGTGGAATTCAGAATCTGGATGTCTGGGGAGCTCATTGAAATTGAGGAGAAATTTGAAACAATCCAAGGAATCCACAGTAGGGACAAACTGGCTTTTTGAGTTCCCAGAGTTCTTGTGTCAATTTTTCTTTTTCTGACTCAGTCTCACTCTAGTCTGGCAGGCTGGAGTGCAGTGGCGTGATCTCGGCTCACTGCAACCTCCACCTCCCATGTTCAAGCGATTCTCCTGCCTCAGCCTCTTGAGTAGCTGGGATTACAGGCACCTGCAACCATGCCCGGCTAATTTTTGTATTTTTAGGGGAGATGGGGTTTCACCATGTTGGCCATGCTGGTCTTGAACTCCTGACCTTGTGATCCATCCTCCTCGGCCTCTTGAAGTGCTGGGATTATAGGCGTGAGCTGCCGTGCCCGGCTGTGTCGATTCTTTTTCATGTGTGGGGGCCTGGTCGCTAGGCTGGCACCTCACCTCCAGCATGCCACAGCCACCATACAGAGAGGAGTCCAGTCCGTCTTCCCTGTGAGCCCCCACCCCCACTTTACCAGGCAGGGCCCCCAGCTCGGGACTGCAGAGCGGCCGCCTGACCCTCGGCATACTCCCCGGTCGTGGCTCTGTGTTTCTCTGGGGAGTAGCTCTGGGGAGTGGCTCCCAGAGGCAACTGACGACCCCTCTGCCACTGCCATGGCCAGGGTTCTGTCCCTGCTGGGATAAACAAAGAGCCTGGGGGCTTCATTCCTGCTTCCAGCACACCACAGCCACCATACAGGCAGGAGCTCAGTCTCCCCTCCCTGAGAGCCCTCCACCCGCTGCTCTTCAGCAAGCCGCGGCCTGAGCCAGCAGCACAGCAGCCCCACCTTCTGGCGGAGCTTTCCCAGTCGCAGTGGGTCTGCATTTCTCTATGGCGGAGCTTCCAGAGACAACTGAAAGTCCCTCTGCTGCGCCCACTGCAGTGGTGCTGCTCTTGCTGCCTTCAGACTGGGGAAGGAGCAAAGACTCTGAGTGCTTTAGGCCAGGGGTGGTGGCTCATGCCTGTCATCCAGCACTTTGGGAGGCTGAGGCAGGCGGATCACGAGGTCAGGAGTTTGAGACCAGCCTGGCCAACATGGTGAAACCCTGTCTCTACCAAGAATACAAAAATTAGCCTGGTGTAGTGGCGTGTGCCTGTAATCCCAGCTACTTGGGAGGCTGAGGCAGGAGAATTACTTGAACCTGGGAGGTGGAGGTTGCAGTGAGCTCAGATCACGCCACAGCACTCCAGCCTGGGCGACAGAGCAAGACTCTGTCTCGAAAAAAAAAAAAAAAGAATTACCCACCAAGAATCCCATTTCCAGCCAAAGCAAGTTTCATAAGTGATGGAGAAATAAGATCCTTTTCAGACAAGCAAATACTGAGGGCATTTATTACCACCAGGCCTGCCTTACGAGAGGTCCTAAGAGGAGCTCTAAATATGGAAAGAAAAGACCATCACCAGCCACTACAAAAACACACTTACGTATGCAAACCAGGGACACTGTGAAACAACCACACAACAAGTCTGCGTAATAACCAGCTAACAACACGTCAGGAGAAAATCCGCACATACAGATACTAACCTAGAATGCAAATGGCCTAAGTGTCCTAATTAAAATGCAGAGAGTGGCAAATTGGATAGAGAAGCAAGAGATCAGCGTGGTGGCTCATGCCTATAATCCCAGCACTTTGGGAGGCTGAGGTGGGTGGATCACCTGAGGTCAGGAGTTTGACACCAGCCTGGCCAACATGATGAAACTCCATCTCTAATAAAAATACAAAACAAAACAAAACCACATTACCTGGGCTTGATGGTGCACACCTGTAATCCTAGCTACTTGGGAGGCTGAGGCAGGGGAATTGCTTGAACCTGGGAGGTGGAGGTTGCAGTGAGTCAAGATCATGCCATAAACAGACTAATAATGAGCTCCAAAACTGAATCAGTAATAGAAATCCTGCAGAGCAGATAAAGCCCAGTACCAGACAGACTCACAGCTGAATCCCATTAGACATATAAAGAAAAGCTGGTGCTCCTCCTACTGAAACTGTTCCAAACTCAGGAGGAGGGAGGCCTCAACAACTCATTCTGTGAGGCCAGCATCACCCTGATGCAAAAATGTGGCAGAGACATATCAAAACTAGAAAACTTCAGGACAATATCCTTGTTGAACACAAATGCAAAAATCCGCAAGAAAATACTAGCAAACAATCCAGCTGCACATCAGAAAGCGAATCCACCACCATCAAGTAGGGTTTATTTCTGGGATACAAGGTGATTCAATGTACACAAATCTTAAATGTGATTCATCACATCAACAGAACAAAAAAAGAAACCCCACATAATCGTCTCAATAAGGCTTTTGATGAAATTCAACATCCCTTTATGTTAAAAAACCTAGACAAACTAGGCATTGAAGAAACATATTTCAAAATAATAAGAATGATCTGACAAACTCACAGCCAACATCATATTGAATGGGCAAAGCTGGAAGCTTTCCCCATGAAAACTGGCACAAGACATGGATGCCCTCTCCCATCACTTCTATTCAACATAGCACTGGAAGTCCTGGCCAAAGCAATCAGGCAAGAGAGATAAATAAAAGGCATCCAAATAGGAAGAAAGGAAGTAAAACTATCCTTGTTTGCAGATGATGTGATTCTGTATCTAGAAAACCAGTCTCTGCCCAAACACTTCTTTTTTTTTTGAGACAGAGTCTTGTTCTGTCACTCAATTTTGACTCACTGCAACCTCTGTCTCTAGGGTTCAAGCAATTCTCCTGTCTCAGCTTCTGGAGTAGCTGGGATTACAGCATGCACCACCACGCCCAGCTAATTTTTTGTGTTTTTAGTAGAGACGGGGTTTCACCATGTTGGCCAGGCTGGTCTTGAACTCTTAACCTCAGGTGATCCGCCCACCTCAGCCTCCCAAAGTGCTGGGATTACAGGCGTCAGCCATTGTGCCCAGTCATACTTCTTAATCTGATAAACAACTTTGGCAAAGTTCCAGGACAGAAAATCAATATACAAAAATCAGCAGCATTTCTGTACACCAAAAACATCTAAGCTGAGTGCCAAATCAAGAACAGAATTCATTCACAATTACCACAAAAAGAATAAAATGCCTAGAAAGACAGCTAACTGGGGAGCTGAAATATCCCCGCAAGGAGAACTACAAAAACCCTGTCAAAGAAATCAGAGATGACACAAACACATGGAAAAACATTCCATGCTCACGGATAGGAAGAATGAATATAGTTTAACACACAAAGAATTCAGGGTATAGTCTTTGGAAGGAGTTGGAAGAGAGAAGACACGGATGGACATGGGGCTCACACCCACTAGGAGGCTAAGGCAGTAGAAGTTGGGGTGGCAGAATCCTCAGTAGTCCTCTAAGACTGCTTCATGCTTAGTGCTGCAGTAGGACTGTAGAATACTAGAATGTTCCGTAGGGTTAGACTATAGCATACTCCCTTTAAATGAAGTGATGTAAATAGACAGGAGGAAGTAGGTTGCTAAAACAAAATAGAATCAGTGTAAGGAAGGAAGTTGGGCAAATGACCCCGACTTCCTCACTCCTGCGGTGGGGAGCAATCAGCAGGTGACGGTCCCTCACGGGCAGTAGAACAGAGGCAAGGACTAACTGTAAATCCAGGCCTGAGCGTGAATGAGTCTGAAGGGTCTGGAGATAACGAAGTGAAATGGAACTAATCAAGGGACGCACAGCAGAAACAACTAGAATGGGGACTAAAATAGGAATCTCTCTGTGCTTCAGAGAAATTCAGAGATTCCTCAATTTCTTTATCCTAGAGTTTCCAAGAGGGTCTAAAGGGCTGGGAGAGATTCACGGGACACTTACCTTCCTGTGCCTGAATCCTCTGGCCCAGACAGAGCACTGGAAGAGAGAGATTTATGGAAAATCAAGCTTCCGTTTCCAACCTTTACAACAAATCACCCTCCGTAATGACAGACCAGAGAAAGCCCCGCACCAGATGGATTCACAGCTGAATCCCACCAGGTATATAAAGAAGAGCTGGTATTATTCCTACTGAAACTATTCAAAAAAAATCCAGGTGGAGCAACTCCTCCCCAGCTCATTTTACGAGGCCAGCATCATCCTGATAACAAAACATGGCAGAGACACAACAACAACAGAAAACGTTGGGACATTGTCTTTGTTGAACATAAATGCAAAAATCTTCAACAAAATGCTAGTAACCATATAACTACATGGGGTCCAATCATATTTTTTCCTTCTACAACGATCACCGTTTTGAGGCTTATTCTTTATTTTTTCCTTTTAGATTCCAGCCTCTAAGTCTCTCCTTGATAGGAGCCCTGGAACCATCACGAATCCCAGACAAACACCATAGCTTTAACAAAAATAACTGAGCCCCGCAACCTAGCTCGGACTTGGGCAGAGGCAAAGTTATAGATATGTTGGCAAAGGCTGCCCTTCTGCTAAGGAGATCAGACTCTCCTTTGCAGCCATTAAAATCTCCTAGTCATACTGTTAAGAGGCACCCTGGTTATTTTGGGATTCCCCCATCTTCCCCTCTAAACCACTTTACTCTGAAACTCACCAAGACAGAGGAGGGTGGTCTCTTTGGGGGCCATCATGCTGACACAGCCTCAGCCCCGCTGGCCTCCTTTTAATGCACATTAGCAGGATGACTGACACTCATAAGTACAAGCTTCTCAGGAAGTATGAGGACAGAGCCCTCCATCAGAGAATTTCTACATCTGTTGCTTCACAGCAAAGAGGAACAGTTCATTCCCAAAGAACTTAGTTCCGGGTTATTCTCGGGTGGAGCCTAAGAGAAGACCTATATTTCTTTCTTTCTTTTTTTTTTTAAATAGCGATGGGGTCTTGCTCTGTTGGCCAGGACTGTCTCCAACTCCTGGCCTCAAGAAATCCTCCTGCCTAAGACCTATATTTCTATTTATGTTTCAAATGAGCAGTGAATTTTCCTCAAGCCAGTGTCTAATGGTATTCAAATCCATCTCTGAACCCGTTCCTATATCCAAATGGGAGGGCCTGGGACAGAATGTAAGGTGGATGGCATACAGGCAGAGATGGTCTTCACTGGGCCATCACTCAAAAGCTCTGTGGCTTTGTCTGTTCTGAACTTGTTTAATCTCTGGGATTCACAGTCAGAGCATATTTTCTTGGGCCTGATCAGGCATGCAGTATACCCTTACCCTGGAGATTATCTTAATGTCGAATGTGGAGGCATTTTCTATGGTGCTATTTGTCATCTCTAAAGAAAGAATCGACTAATTTATTTTACTGTGTGCTTTTTAAAATTTGTATAAAGTTAAGGAGCCGGGTGCAGTGGCTCATGCCTGTAATCCCAGCACTTTAAGAGGCCAAGGCGGGTGGATCACCTGAAGTCAGGAGTTTGAGACCAGCCTGGCCAACATAGTGAAACCCCATCTCTACTAAAAATATGAAAAGTTAGCCAGGCGTGGTGGCAGGCACCTGTAATCCCAGCTACTTGGGAGCCTGTGGCAGGAGAATCACTTGAACCTAGGAGGCAGAGGCTGCAGTGAGCTGAGATCGTGCCACCGCACTCCAGCCTGGGGGACAGAGTGAGACTGTGTCTCAAAAAAAAAAAAAAACAAAAACCTATTGTTATTGTTTACAGATGATATGGCTATTGGGAAAGAGATACTTACTAATTGGTTGAATTTTGGGAACCTCAGTGGCCGACATTTACTAACGGGCAGGGACAGATTGTGTCAAGTTTCCACAGCATTGGAGATGGTTTTTTGTTTTCTCCTTTTGTGGAGCAGCAATGGTAAAATTGCCATGGGGTGCCCAGATATTTGGTTAAACATTATTCTGTGTCTGTCTGTGGGGGTGTTTCTGAATGAGATTATCACTGGAATTGGTAGAATTTATAAGGCGGATTGCACTCTCTGATGTGAGTTGGCCTCATTCAGTCAGTTGGGTTGGGACCTGAACAGAATAAAAAAAATTGAAGTGGTAATGTAAGATGAAGTTCTTCCTGCCTAACTGCTTTGAGCCTGGACATCTGTCTGGTTTTTTTTTTTTTTTTTTTTTCTTGAGACAGAGTTTTGCTCTTGTTGCCCAGGCTGGAGCGCAATGGCATGATCTCGGCTAACCATGATCTCCACCTCCCGGGTTCCAGCAATTCTCCCGCCTCAGCCTCCCTAGTAGCTGGGATTACAGGCGTGTGACACTATATCTGGCTAATTTTGTATTTTTAGTAGAGAGGGGGTTTCTCCATGTTGACCAAGCTGGTCTCGAATTCCCAGCCTCAGGTGATCTGCCTGCCTCAGCCTCCCAAAGTGGTGGGATTACAGGTGTAAGCCACCATGCCAGACCTGACAGCTGTCTTTTCTGGCCCTTGAACTCTCACTAAAACGTTGACTCTTTAGATGTTGAGCCTGCCAGCTTTTTTCTTTCTTTTTTTTTTTTTTTTTGAGATGGAGTCTTGCTCTGTTGCCCAGGCTGGAGTGCAGTGGTGTGACCTTGGCTCACTGCAAACTTTCACCTCCTGCGTTCAAGCAATTCTCATACCTCAGCCTCTGAGTAGCTGGGATTGCAAGTGAGTGCCACTAATCCTGATTAATTTTGATACTTTTAGTAAAGATGAGGTTTTGCCATGTTGGCCAGGGTGGTCTTGAACTCTGACCTCAGGTGATCTGCCTGCCTTGACCCCCGAAAGTGCTGGGATTACTGGCGTGAGCCACTGCACATGGCCTGAGCCTGCCAGCTTTTGGACTGTGATGTACACCACTGACTCTCCTGGTTCTCAGGCTTTGCACTTCGGCTGGAATCACACATGGACTCTCCTGGGTCTCCAACTTGCAGATGGCAGATCACGGGACTTGTCAGCCTCCATAGCTGCACGAGCCAATGTGTAAATATTCTATCTGTGTATCAGTCATTATATATCTATCATCATCCATCCATCACTGTTTGTGATATCATATCTATCATTATGCATCCATCTATCATTATTTGTCTATCAATTATTATCAATATACCTATCATTATTAGCATTATTATTTTCTCCTATTGATTTTTTTTTTCTGGAGAAGCCTGACTACTATAGCTACCATGCTCCTATCTTTTTTTTTGTTTGTTTTTTGAGATGAGTCTTGCTCTGTTTCCCAGGCTGGAGTGCAGTGACACAATCTCGGCTCACTGCAACCTCTGCCTACTGGGATCAAGGAATTCCCTGCCTCAGCCTCTTCAGTAGCTAGGATTACAGGCACCTGCCACCACGCCTGGCTAATTTTTGTACTTTTAGTAGACATGAGGTTTCACCATCTTGGCCAGGCTGGTCTTGAACTCCTGACCTCGTGATATACCTGCCCTGGCCTCTCAAAGTGCTGGGATTATAGGTGTGAGCCACCCTGCCTGGCCCCATGTTCCTGTCTCAACTGTTAGCAATCCCCTTAGCACAGGGCACACCTTAGCCAGTCTATGGGCCAGGGGATACAAGCCACATAGCTACATGAATCACAGTGATCCAAGGATATAGACGGAGACACATCAGAATTGAGGTATCTATTGGTCTCTGCATATTTTGGGATTTGGGATTTCCCATTACGGAAATTTGCCTTGAATCTGTCTAACTGGTCACTAACAGTTGATTGGTAGGTTCCATTCTCCTAGTACATCATAACCCTAACAAGCCCAGGCTGTGACTGGCAATGGAGACCCTCAGCCTCAATGGGGCATTACAGTGCTCAGCTGCACCTGTGTGCAGAATTTGTCACAAACACCTAAGAAGGGAGGAGGCCTTTGTTTCAAGGAAGAAGAAGGAGCTGGTTCTCTATCCACTGAACTCAGAGGTACTGGAGAGTGGCTAGCGAGGGCCTTTACTCTCCGCAGTTTTTTTGTTTGGTTGGTTTTGGAGATGGAGTCTTGCCCTGTCACCCAGGCTGGAGTACAACAGCACGATCTTGGCTCACTGCAATCTCCACCTCAGTGGAGGTGAATCAAATGATTCTCCTGCCTCAGTCTCCCAAGTAGCTGGGATTACAGGCACCCACCACAAGGCTCAGCTATTTTTTGTATTTCACTTTATTTTAGGCCTTATTTTTATTTTTTAATTTATTTTTTACATTTTTAGTAGAGATGGGGTTCTACCATGTTGGCCAGGCTGGTCTCGAGCTCTTGACCTTGTGATCTGCTCCCCTCGGCCTTTCAGAGTGCTGGGATTACAGGCATGAGCACCTGCACCCAGCCATATCTGTAGATTTAATGGAGTCACAATAAAATGACAAGCATTGTTTTTGGTGGAAATGAGAAGACAGATTACAAATTTACATGGAAAAGCAAATAGCCTGTAATAATAATGGCAATCTTAAAGAGGAAGGGGAAATTAGAGGACTCAGGCTACCAAATTTTAAGGGGTTCTAAGGCTACATAAAGTGTAGCATCCTCACGAGTGGACACAGAGAGCCACTGAGCAGAAAACAGTGTGTAAAATACATCCATGTACACTCAGTCCCTTCATAGTTGACAAGGCTGCCGTGTGGATTAAGGTGGAATAGAATGTCTTCTCAATAACTAACATTGGACCATAGGGTTCCATGTAGGGAAAAATAAATCTAAGCTTATTTCCACACCATTAAAACACCGCTTTTTAAAATCCTATTATTACACATTTTGATGATGTATTTTAAAAATTGGTGAATAAAAATATATAGTCATCCTTCACTATTCCTGGGTGATTGGTTCCAGGAAAGCCCTCTCCCTACAAGATAGCAAAGACTGCAGATGCTCCAGCCTCTTACATGAAATGGCATAGCATTTGCATATAACCCTGCATATCCTCCTGAATACATCAAATCCTCTCTAGATTACTTATAATTCCTGACAGAGCCTACACACCACTTCATTTGTGTTCATTCAACACAGTTTTGCTTTTTGAAACTTTGTGGATTTTTCTCTGAATATTTTTTATTTATAGTTGGTTTGATACACAGCTGTAAACCCCACAGATATGGAGGACCGACTGTGTATTTATAGTGTGAAAGATGATGTTTTGATATTTGTCCTCATGGAGATGAGACTAACAAGGGTGATGACCCTGCAGATGTTTCATCCTGGGATTACTCTGTGAGCTTTCCAGGTCTGCAGAGAGTAGGAATAGCATTTGTCCACCTGATTCACGATCCTCGGAACCTCCTATGTGCTGCATATCTGGATGGAAATTGGAGTCCCAGAGACAAAACAGGCTCCACCTGCTTCTAGGAGCTCAGAGTCCAGGGGTGTGAACCCAGTGGATGAATATGGGGTTATATGGACAAGTAATGATAACACCTGAAACTTTACGCAAAAAAAAGAGTCACATTACCTAAAGCACGAGACGTTTATTTAAAGAGGAGAGAACTACATTGAAATTATAAAAAAAATTTTAAATTTTACTGATGACAGAAGGCTGAAAGATAGTCGGAGGGAAGGTGGAACAGCATGAGGGAAGGTGGAACAGCACGTGTCTAAGTGCTATGTTAAGAGGCAGCCTCTTGTATGTCTGGACTTGTGAGTTCCTCAGTGTGACTGCAGCCTCAAGTAGGACCAGGGAGTAAGCCAGTTAGGTTGGAGAGGTGGGCAGAGGTCAAGTCAAGTGGAGAATTGTGTGTTAAGCAAAGGAGTGTGTTTTCTGTCCAGCAGGCAGTGAGGACCGCAGACATTTGTAAGCAAGAGACAGCCACGTTCAGATTTGTGGTTTAAGGAAGAGCGATCCCCTAAGACACAGACTCACGCCTTTAGGTCCCAGCTGCTGTTACATTGGAACTGGCAAGCCGGGTTTGAGTCAGGGCCATTGTCTCCCTGGAGGACCCCCTCAGGCCTGTCTGTGGTGCTCACGGACAGGAGACAACTTTCAATCTGGGCTCCGCATTTGGGAGTTCCATGTACATGCTGGTTTCTGTTGGGGGTCTCTTGGGCCTCTGAGAAGGGCGAGTGATTTTTCTCTGAGTGAAAACGCAGTGATCCAGCTGTGCGTATGTCACCTCCTGAGGGTCTTGTCCATCAGAGTCCTGGAGAGATGGAAATGTTGAGTGACGGAGGGGCTCACGTTCTTCGGGACTATTAGGGAATAAGACTCCATCCCTGAGGCTGGGCCAAGGAGGACCTACCTCCCTGTTCACTGTTCTGTCCACCCCAGGCTCTTGGTCCACTACAGCAGCATCTGTAGGAGACAGACATCATCAAAACCCCTGGGAGGGCCCTTCTGTGTCCTCATTTCATGTGCAGACACCAACACACAGGGGGAGGCCATGGGTGCCTGAGGCCCCTCAGCTGCCAACGGCCTGACTCACACATTCTATCTCTCTGAGTACAAGGACCCCTCCCATGAAGAGCTCTCAGTT